GCCTGTCATTGCTGCTTTTTTGATTAGCCAACAGGAGGTGCATTTCTACAGGGAGGGACTGGTTCTGCCAGTTTTCCCATTCTCTCTCCAATGGTGCACCATCTTCCTGAACAACACTTCCTAAAGTGAATTGGACACAAACTGGTGAAGCTCTCGTTGAGGACAAGTGAGTTTTGAATGTCCTTCACAACTGGAATTTGAGAGCTTGTGACCTAAATCTCTAGTTAAGAATCGAGTGAGTGAATTCTCTGCTGCTAAAAGAGCCAGCAAAGATTTTTCTTCAGACTGGAAGATATAGTAAACAAATTAACTTTGATGAAAAATGCAAACATTATTCAGCTGTTCATAGCCAGAAAAGCAGGACAAGCCTTAAGAAGGGGTAAAATCCTATTTTTTCACAGCACTTGCAATCTAAAAGCAACAATGTTGGAAAAACAATGCCATTATTTGTAATAAATAATAGATTAATGCTGCTGTGTAGGTATAATTTTCATTTTTTTATACAAATATGATTTGTGAAAATGATATTCTCTATTTGTATTTGCCTCTTTTACTATTCTTTTATAATTAAACCTGAAGTGACACTTGTCTACCTTTTGATGTTTTTTGTTTGCATCCAAGAATTTGAGAACACTACGTTGTTGATATGGCTATGATTTGTAATATTTACAGGATGCTGATTTCTAATCTTGGAGTAGTGTATTGGATCGCTAAGCTGCTTACAAAAGAATTTAATGTATTTTTAACTAAAATAAATAATACATATAGTTTTAGGATAAGCTAGTACTTTTTAAAACACATTTGCTTGGACCGTAGAGGTTACATTGTGAATACAACTGTTCAGAGTTGAGTCTTGGGGGTTTAAGGGTGGAGGTCAACATCTTGGTATTGCAATCCATTACTTTTGAAAGTCATCAGAAATGTTATGTTTGAGGTTTTATGTGTGGTTGTCTAGATCCCTCAGGATATTGAGTGCATTGGTGATACAAGAGAAAGTTGGACAAGGTCTACATTGGAAGCTAGCTTGGAGTCCTGAATGATAATGTCTCATTCCTTGCTTCATTTGATTTGAGCTTTGTGAAACAGGAAGCATATTAAAATCTTACATAATACCTGCTATGATAACCAATGTGTTTAAGCCTTGATACTAGACACAAGGATCTTTATGACTAAGGTATCGTACTTCAGTGAAGGACCCAATGTTTGAGATTAGCACAATTGCCATAAAAGTGTTTAGTGAAAATCAGAAGTATACAAGCAGAAAGTTAGTGTAGTCGAGTCTAGATGTAATGAATGCATGGATGAGGGTTTTGGTGGCCTGAAGGGTGAGGCAGTGGCAGAGGTGGGGGAAGGTGTAGAGTTGTAACTCTTTCGTTCGTCCCAACCGTCGTCTTACAAACAGACCATGCACCGTGGATATATCCAAAGTAAGATTTAATTGCAATTGCAAGAGCTGATTCAAGAGCAGTCAACAGTCTCCAAGAAGAGCACCGGACAGTCAAAAGAATGAGCTGCCGATGGTCAGTTAAAGCAGCCTTTTTATCCCCAAAAAGTGCTGAAGGTTGTAATACATACAAGGGCAGTTTAATTGGTATTATCAATCATGTGGCTCCAACAACTATTCCAATGGTGACGTCAATCAATCCATATCTCTTAACAAAATTAAATGTCGTCTACTAATTAGTCTCTATTCATGCTGATTATTATTCTTTGAAGAGTCAAGAAAATACAATTGTCATAGAGTATGTACCTGATTGATACCGTTGTCTAAAGTACACAAGATATATTCTCAAGCTATCTAACAAGAATGTAACCTTTAAACTTATAACACAGAGTAAGTACTAATGAAGGAAGGGGGCCCAGGTTAGGGGATGATTCAGGGACGTTTGAGGCATAAGCTTATCTCCAGATGGTGTTTGTGTCAGACAATGTCTTATTCATTTCAAGGTTTGCAGAAGTTACTGCTTCCCTGCTTCTGTGAAATGCCCAGATAAGGATGCAGCTGGCATTGCCGAGTCTGCGTTTCCCAGGACTTGCTTTTGTTCATCTAATAGTTGGTTAAAAGGTATAAAATTATTCCTAGGTATAAAAGGTTTTTCTACAATCTCACAAAGGCAGAGCGGGTCATGGCACGGATGTGGGGCAGAAAGGACAGTTGAGGGTCAAACAAGACATCAGGGTTCTAGACAGGCACGGTGAGGTGGAGTGTGCATCCCTGCATGGTGATGCTGAGTATAAATTATAAATAATATAAGTATAAATTATTTGGGTAATAAAAAAAGGTAAAACAAATTTGTATTGCGAAAATATTTTTTAAAAAGCTCAGCAATATGCTGTTTCATGACTAATGCACTTTGAACTTTTGAAGAACTATACTTATTAAAACCCTTGCAAAATTGTGACTCAATTTCTAATATTTATTGAAGTATACTTGAAAAATGCCCTCCCTGTCTTTTCCTTTGTTAAAAAAAACAAGGAATGTTGCATGAAAGTTGATCATTCTGTTGTGTTGATTAAATTACATTCTATTTCACTGTCATCTCTGTGAAATCTCCTCATCTTCCTCCACCATGCCTTTCCCCTCTTGCAAATTCTTGCAGACTTCCCCCTCAATTTGACTTGTATGCTGTCAAAAATACATCATTGTGATTTGTAAATTTGCATACTTCTCATTTGCAATGTAATTCACTTTGAAAATGAAATTCACAGCCGCTTTGTCACTAACGCCCTTAGGATTGCAGTAGTACCTGCCAGCCAAGAAATAGATGTCTATGCACCCTCTATCATTGTGGCTGACAAAGTGAAACTTAAAAAGAAAACTTAACCAATTGGAGAAAATTCTGTATTCTCTTCTCTTTGACCATGCTGTATTTCATTACCCCCACTTAGTTTTGTCTTCGCATACTTGTAAAGTTAAATTCCAACCTACAGTTTCTTTACACCAGCTTTGTCTATGCAGACGTGTATAATTTACAGAAGGCAATAGATATTACTCACAGTGTCTCGGTATGCCTCAACATTTATAGCGATTGCAATTCTTATTCTAATTTCTCCACCAGAAGTCAGATATTTTGCTTTGAGGATAAACGTATTTTAATCATCTGCCATTGACAGTCATGGAAAGGTATATGTATCAACCATACCAACCTTCTGGGTGAGAGGGTGAGAGTGTGAAGTGAGCAGATAAAAGGAAGGAAATTATTTCTTTGCATTTCATGAATGTAAATATTTTGAGATAAGCCAGAAGAGCTGAGCTATGAATCACGGGTGACTCAAACATCTGAAGAATATTAATCAGCCTTATTGATTAAGAATCTTAGTGTTCTGTTCAATACGTTGACCATTGCATAATGTGGAACTAGAATTTCAATACCTTAGGCTAAGACAACAAATCAAATAAATTGATTATTTCTTATTTGATTAAATTATTTGATTATTTGGTCTTGCCTCCTTCAAGACCTGTCTCAAGACCCTCTTCTTCAACCATTCCTTTGGTCATCCTACCACCCCTACCCTCCCCGCCCTCCACTCCTTCTGATTCCAACCACCAGCTCGGGTGCGGATCCCTGACTGTCCAGCGCTTTGGGACATCCTCCTGACGTGAAAGGCGCTAAACAAATGTAATTTGTTGTTGTTGTTGTCTACATGGTTTATGATTGGTTGAGTCTCCAAGAGAAAAAAACAATATAAACCATCGATAAAATACCTACTCTTCAGATTTTATGTTCTGTGGTTTAACATGAGCATCTTTAATTTGATGAGTAACTAGAGTAGTGGTGAGCGAGAGCAACCTGTCGCCTGCCTGTGGGGCCATAAAGAAGCCCCCTCCTCCCACCCAAACATTTGCACGAGTTTAGGTAAGTCCATGTCCAATCCGTAATGCGTTTTCAGTTTTTTCTCGATTGAATATTTATTGATTTATGCCATAAATCAATCAAGAACATTTATTTTGTTGGACATCCATAAAGATTGGCCACCACTGAGCTGGAGCATGGAGCTTGATGTTATCCCAAACTCCTCCTGTAGTTGTGACAATTGTGGCAATTTTCACACAAACCCATCTCCCTGTAATTGGATGATAATCCATATTTTGAGTCATTAACAAGTAGTGAGCAAAGGATTAAGAGTACCATAAACCCAAGTTGCTCCCAATCAAAGATTCTGAATTTTAGATTTTTCAGGACGATTCTATATCTTGTGATTGCCCCTTTGGAGGTTTCTCTATCATGATGTTTAAAGAGCAACAGACTCGTCTTTTACCGCAATCCTTTTCAATTGCTTATAAAATTCCTTGTCAAAATGGAATTCACCTGATATCTCATTGCACTGTTGAATTTACAGAAGTTTTTGTGGTGGGCCATGTGTCTTACACACACAGAAACTATCACCATTCTTAAGAGTATTGAAACCAGACAGAGTTTCTATACATGCATAACCATTTCAGCCAGTGAGTAGGCTCTGTGGTCAGGGACAAATGAGTTGGGCAGTTGAGGGGATCCAACTACTTTCTCAATGTTGCAGAATATTGAGATTCCACAAATTTGTCTGAGGGGGCATCTGATTTGTGTATATCTTTAAATTAGGTGTGAAGGTTTGATCTGTTCTGTTGAATGTGTAGAATTCATTTGCTGCATGAATTGAATAGTGAAGGACATTACTGCATATATCTCAATATCTACCTCAAAATAATTGGTACTTGTTTCTCAATTCTGTCTTCACTGAGGTAATCTTCAATTCTGCTGTCGGCATCATTCCTTTGTTGCCGACAGACACAATTTAAATGGAGTTGAATATTGATACTGTATCTACTGTGACTTTTGTGATTTGAAATAATCAAATACATCCCTTGGTTCAGTTTGACTTGATCAACTAGTTCAGGTGGAAATTGGTAATATTTATTTTCTCAAACTTGCTTGCTATTCATGCAGACTGTTAGGGAGTTTTTATTTACAAATGTACATTGTGGAGATGTTATAGCAGCAATTTTATTTCTTTTACAGTGTTTGCCAAGAATATTTCCTGAATGGTGGAATGAAGAGAGTGCTTGAAAAGGATGAGAAAAGAGCCCGACTTGCAATTTCTATGGCTACTCCAGTCCTGAATGTGCAATCAACTGAGAGGAATGATGATTATCTCTCATCCAACGGCATATTAACTAGTTTGGATGCAAGGTAGGTGCCAAAAACAGTCAACATGTATTTTAAACATATTGCACTTCCACTAAGAAATTAAAATTATGGAACATTGCTTCAAACTACATTCACCAATATTAGGATTGGTGAGAAATCGATGGATAATAGAAAGTAATTATGCACCGTGTGGGAGGTTGTAGCGGAAGGACTACTTCAACATTGTCTCTCCCCACCTATCCAGCACATATTATTAGAGCCAAAGTCAATCACAAGGGTGCAACAATAACAACAAGATTACATTTGTATAGCGCCTTTCACGTCGGGAGGAGGTCCCAAGGCGCTGGACAGTGTACAGCATTTCAGACCCGAGCTGGGGTCAGGGGGGAGAAGGGAAGGGAAGGGGGGTGACCAATGGCATGGTTGAAGAGGAGGGTTTTGAGGCGGGACTTGAAGGAGGCTAAGGAGGGGGCAAGGCGGAGTGATTGGGGGATGGAGCTCCAGAGGTTGGGGGCAGAGTGGCTGAAGGCTCTCCCGCCAACGGTGGGTCGGGTGGGTTGGGGGACGTGGAGCAGGCCAGAGCCGGCTGAGCAGAGGGAGCGGGCGGGTTGTTAATAATAATAATAATCCTTGCATTTGATACAGTGCTTTTCACGTCTTCTAGACGTCTCAAAGCGCTTCACAGAATATACTGTAAAGTGAATTGACTGTATATTTGTGGGCGAATGCGGCAGCCAATTGCACACAGCAATGTCCCACAAACAGTCGTAGATTGAAAATGACCAAGTTATTATTGTTTTGTTTTCTGGAGGAATTATTATTACGCGTGTGGAGTAAGGAAACTTGCCCAAGGTTTCGCCCTGGTAAGGGGTTAGGAGGTCACAGAGATAGGGTGAGGCGAGACCACTGAGGGCTTTGTAGGTGAGGACCAGGATTTTGAACTGGATCCTCTGAAGGATAGGGCGCCAATGGAGTCGGGCGAGAATGGGTGAGATGGGGTCACCGAGTTTGATGCGTGAGAGGACACGGGCTGCAGAGTTCTGGATTATCTGTAACCTGTGGAGGGAGGAGTTGGGAAGGCCGACAAGCAGGGCATTTGCATAGTCGAGCCTGGAGGTGATGAAGGCATGAACAAGAGTTTCAGTGGCCTGAGGAGTGAGGTAGTGGTGGAGTCGGGCGATGTTACGGAGTTGAGGGAAGGCAGAGCGGGTCATGGCTTGAATGTGGGGAAGAAAAGACAGTTGAGGGTCGAACAAGACACCTAGGTTCCTGACTGGCTTGGTGAGTTGTTGTGTGCAACCATGGAAATTGATGCTGCCAGAGCCTGAGGTGCTGAGTCAATCAGGAGGGCCTCAGTCTTGTTCACATTCAACTGTAGGAAGTTTGCCCTCATCCAGGACTTAATGTTCGACAGGCAGTCTGTCAGGACAACAGTGGTCCTGGAGTTGAGGGTGGAGGCAGAAAGATAAGAGTTGGGTGTTATCCGTATGCATATGGAAGTTGACCCCATGTCTGCAGATGATGTCACCAAGGGGGAGCATGTAGCTATTGAAAAGGAGAGGACCAAGGACAGAGCCCCGGGGGACACCAGACGTGACAGAGGAGAAACTATTAGAGGCAACAAAGTGGAGACGGTGAGAGAGATAGGAATCAACAAGGTGCAATAAGGTAGCGGCAATGTTTAAGGACTCATACTGATTGTATGCAAAATATATGGGTAATTTCTGATTGCAATTTATTGATTTTCATATATGGATGATGGTGATGGAAGTATCTGAAGAAATTCCTCAGCATCCAGCACTTGCTGTGCAAGTATGTTTTACATTTTAGAAAGCATGTGCCTTGTATTTCCAAGTTTTTCTGGAAGACTTTTGTAGTGGGCTCCAATCTAAAAGTGCTGAGCAAGTGGATTCAGTGAGAAGTATGTATTTATTGGAACTTTATTATTTATTTGAACTTAACTGGTGTATTGTTTTCTCGATGTTGCAGCAAAATGGCTCTTTTTTTTGCTTCAGAAAGAAGGGAGCTAGATTTATTATGTCAGTAAACCAATTTATTGTAAACTAGCTGTACCCATTGCAGTTTCGCTTGCAACCAAAGGATTCAGAATGGAATGTAGATTGACACACAGACACATACACAAACGGACATTTCGTCTTTATCTATACTTAGCTGGGAGGACTCCTTTTGGGAGGATTCAGTAGGAAGACTCCTTTAATACATTTTCTCTCTGTCTCTATCGCTCTTTCTTGGCCTCTCTTCTGTTACAGTCTCTCTCTCTCTGTCTCTGTTTCTCCCTTCATTATGTACATTTACATCTAGGTTTCGTTGATATACAATCTTCTGAAGTTGTGATTCTCCTCATTTATGTTGTAAATCTCAGGGATAATCTGTTTACTTTTAGCCTTGATAACGTTAAGTGACCAAGAAAATTAAGCAAACCAATAATAATTAGAATGCAGCTCCATGAATGGCCACCTTCTGTAAGTAATGTGCTAGTCAGTCTAAAGAGTGCTGCTGTGACTCTGCAGCATCGTTCTGTAAGATATATTGTGGGTCTAGCAGAAACAAGTCTCACTGTATTGTGGCCTGCTGCGATGGCACTTGAATGTTGCCAAGCATAATCTGCAGCTGTGATTCATTTTGACAGGCAAAGAATGGGCATTTTACTAACTGATATTATGTACTGAAAAATTATGCTGAAAATGTCTGGTATTGATACCAGCAAGTCTGACATTTTAACAAATGAGTTGGAGTCTTACTCAAACTGTTCTGGCAAACTGAATGAGTATGTATGTATGTGTGTGTGCAAAATATATATATTTTATTGTTATTTGTGTTATTTATTGAGAAGAAAAATCCTGTGGTTTGGAAAGGTAAAGTTGAGACAAATCCAAATCATAAATCACTTGGATTCATGATTCGCATATATGTAAGAAACTAGATACCGTAGAACTCTGTTATAAGGTAGTAGTCGAATCTATAAATTCCCATCGAGCCCAATAACAAGTGCGACCGCTGGTCAGTGCTTCCACATTGCGACATGAATGGTGAAGTCACTGAGGATGCGTGCGGGAAGCTGACTGGTCCATGTGCTCAATCCAACTGTGGAGCTGCAGAGTACCCCGGCAATAACTAAGCAAACCATTAATGTAAATCAAGCATTGATGAGGTCCTAGGAAACCGTAAACTGTTTCTCACTCACGCTGATTGACCTACTCTGAATCTTTCAATATTTTCTATTTTGTTTGATGCCTTAGTTTGCACTTAAAAGTAATGAAAATAATTGGTATGTAACTAGATTTACCAAACTAGCAATTAGCAATTTTCAATTCTTGGAAATTTTATGGAATTGGTTCTTGCGTTTTAATGAGGCAGACCAGTCACAACCAGATGGGCCTATTATATATCTTCTATTTAGAAGAAATAATTTCCTTGTTTCACATGTTTCTCAATGTGCTTTTTTTTTAGTGTTGGCACCTTAGATGAAAGATAAGCTGAAAATTTAAGCATAGATCCCAACTGAATTGATTATAGTTTTATAAAACAACTGACATTCAGCATTACTTATGTATAACAATAAACGTTGCATTTGACATCGTCAAAACATCGCAAAGCGCTTCAAAGGATATACTGTAAGGTGGATTGACTGTGTATTTTGTGGGTGAAATGTGGCAGACAAATTGGCGCACAGCAGTGTTCCACAAACAACCATGGAGTGAGTGAACAATTTTACTTTTAGATTTGCTTTTAAGTCTTTCATATGACAAAAGTTGCATTTATTGAAACAAGTAGAACTAACTAAGTTTAAAATCTCCTTGAAAGGTCAATTCGGCTGATTTGACGAGCAATATGAAAATACATTTGTTTTGCAGAAACGAGTTTCCAGAGCATATGTAAGTTGGTGTATATTTTTATCCAGAATGACTCATTTCATTCCCTTGTGTCCTTGGTTAGACACTTGAGTGTTCTGTTACAGTTACTGCCAGACTAAATTTTGACAACATTAATACAGTAGTTGTCTGATTGTGTTGACAGCAGATAGCTTTGGGAACAGATTGTCATGGTTTAGAGTCGTAAAGCTGTTGGGATATTAATGAGTGTTGGCAGTTCTTGGTTGCAGTCCTGGGTGCACTACCCAATGGAGGTGGGGTATTCCATCTGAGGAAAAGGGAAAGGCTAAGCAGATTGTCGGTATAATTCCTTTTACAAGAGCACCTTTTATCCCAAACACAGGACAGACGTCCACTTTATCTACATTTTTGAGAGCTAACTGAATTTTTTGGGTGTCTGACCAAGATCATTTTTTAATTTTAATGTGTCGTTTTCATGCTGCATTTGAAGCCTGAATCAACTACTTGGAAATGAATGTGACTGCAATAGAATTTCTTCAGACTCCAGCATGTTTCACCAGTTGTGTTGTTTGGTCTCTTAACATTTTGGAGTTGAACTTCGAGAGATTTATTTGTAGATGCCTGCAAACACCTCATTATGTTAACAGCAGTGAGCTGATTGACATCACAGGGTAATGCTGCTTCTGCGTTTTGTGCCTGTGTTCGATTTGCACAGATTTGGGTATGGCCTGAAAAGGTTTATGGTTTAGCAAACTAATTAAGGTGCAATTGGGGAAAAAAATCTTAAACTCTAATTAATGGTGCTCCAGTTAATAGTGGATCAATACTGCTAATCTAAAAGCTAATTTGTACTGAATACTTGGAAATGGGGGCACTGGCCAACAAGCCCCCAAATAAAACTGGTCACTTGTTTCATAACTATTTGTGGGACATTGCAGTGTGTAATTGTACTGCCGTATTTGCCTACAAATACATAGTCAATCCATTTCACAGTAATTCCTGTGAGGCGATTTGAGACATCTTGCTGACGCGATGAGGCACTTTACCAAATACAAGGATTATTATTATGACATACCCCTCTTATTCCCCACCTTCTCTTGGTATAGAGCTGCTTTGATTACAGCACTATGCACAAGAAACGCTGTTGATATGCTGTTTACAACACTTTGTGAAGGACGCAATATCAAC